CGCAGGCGGTTCTAGAAGAAGGCCACAAACACACACAAACTCAAGCAGACTGACGCACACACACTTGACCTGCGTGAATGGGGATCCGACTCGCGTGCGCTGAGCCAGGGGCTACACTGATTCGGGACCAGAACGTAAGGGAGGTGCTGAAATAGGCTTATCGGGCGACATAAACCCGGCTCCCGCAGGATGAGGGTTAAACAACCACACATCTGGCCGGTCTGCACTGACCATGTGTGATTTCAGGTCCTGGCCCTTCTACGTTCTTCTACTCAAGAGTCTATTGATATAAAAATTTGAAAACATAGGCAAAGAAAAATTCAACAGCAATCTGAATGTTCCGGAAAAAAATTAACGTTCATTTGAATTAGAATCCTTAGACAATGCAACTATTTTCAGGTCTTGTCTAGTTAAATGGAGCGGAAGATGCAGAAAACCATCCCCCCAGTCAACCACTTGAGTCCAAAATTGGACAATTAAAAATTTTTGTACCCTCCCAAAAGAAAAGCTCTGCCAAAGATGCACCATTTTAACATCATCAAAATGCTGTTTAATGCTATGGTCAAGGCTTTCAATTTTCTTGCTTTTCATGATTCCTGATTTGAACAACGCAATAAAATCTAGGGTTTTTTGTCTCTGTTGTAAAAAAAGTACCCAACGTTCTTAAGTGCTATGCTTACATCACTGACGACATGCTGTCTCATTGTGAATGAGCACATCTGTGACAGTTTTGTCATGGACTAGAGGTGACATGAGTTCAGACCAAGGCCTGTCACAAAATATTACATTATCTGAAGCTAGTGTAACTGCAACGCATCATGTTACAAAAATTAAACATATCCATGTCAATGACTTGGGCTGGTAGGTGTTCTCTAAACAGATACTTGTTGGTTTGGGTTGAGGGGGGTTTTTTTCAAAGTAAAGAGAGGCACTGGCACATCAACACAATAATGGTCACTTCGTGCAGCAAATAGGTGAGACTGACCCAGAGACAACAGGGGGAAAGAAAAGAAGTAAGACCTACCAGTGGCACCCTTCAACCACCCTTCTGTACACATTATAGATAGCATTTGTATAGTGCACTTTCCCGCTCAACATCATCAAGCTCTATGCACTGTACAATCTATGTTGTTACCCCACCAGACCCGAAAGCATTCTGAAATGTCAACTTCCTGAGCAGCATCCAGCGCAGGCTACCATTTAATAGACGGTAAACCTCCGACATATTGGTACCCTTTCCCATCTGGGTGAAGAAAGGAAAATATGTGTAAAGTGCTTTTTCTAAGGACACAACGTCCAGCCTGAGGCTTGAACC